ATGGAATAGTCACAACATTTGACTAATACAGGGTTTTCTGATGGTTCATCAGTTGCTCATGGGACCAAAACTAAGGGAAAGCAGTAGGATATACACCAGGAGATATAATGGTCATTACTGAGGAATGAACCACAAAATCAGCACAGAACTATTGGCTATAAGACAAACAACTAGAAAAGCTAAATGAAGATCTGTATCTTCACTAATTTATGGTGCATGTGTAATAGTATAGGTATATGGTTATCAAAATGCAAAACTATTAAATGGCAGATAAATGGCAAAGATATCTGGTCATGGGAGGCATGCAGAAAAATGGCAAATTTTACCAAAACAGCAAATTTTATGTGGCTCATACAGGCAAGAAAGAAAACTTTTGAAAATAACGAAATAGGGGACAAATTGGCATCATGTTTAATTAAGACTAGAATATTAAAAATTTACCAGAGAATAAATCAGCAAGAACAATAGATTGTACATTTGAAAAACTTTAAAGTTTACACCTAACACTAAAAACTAATGGGAAATAGAGAACCAAATTAAACCAGAAAATATGAGAATAAGTATTATAAGGAATCCATACCCAGAAGTTGGTTCACACCTTTAATCCCGGCATTTGGAAGGCATATATATTTAATTCTAACACTTGGGAGGCAGAGGCAGGCACTTAAGAATTACATTGAATGAAATTCAAAAGCCACTTACAAAAGGCAGGTTGAAATTCAAACTGATTATCCTTTGTGATCTAAAAATAAATACACTTAAACCTTGAATTTATATATAGATGGAAGGGGAATATAGGTACATTTACCCACACATACTAAAGCATATTTAGTTTCAAATTTTCAAAAGAATTTTTAAAATTAAAATATAATACTTTTTTATTGCCCCAAAACAAAACAAAACAAAACACAAAAAACAAAAACCTACCAAAAAAGGAAGCCCCAGAATTAGTGCTGGGGAATGATCTTGCTTTTATCTTGCCAGGAGTATAGCAGCATTCAACTAAGGAACCAGAGACCACTGGACAAATAAAACATCTGCAGAAAAAGGACAGATCATCAAGAGAAAATGTCCCAAGAAAAAAATTAATTGCCCACCTCCAGAGGATCTGACTGAATTCTGGCTCAGAGCCCCAGACTAGCACCAGCATCCATGCCACCATCTTGCAGGAGCAGCTGCTCCTTCCCACTGGACAATGTGGGTCAGGGCAGGATAACCCTGGGTGGCTCTCCCTTCCTTCTTCCAGTCATGTGACTGGCCTGCACTTGGCAGATTCTCAAATCTTGTCTCTGCTGCCCTCTACAGACATTAGTAGCAAACGGGCTTTATGTGGTCCCACTTCTATCATAAATTCAAACTGTCTTTGTGGTTGGAGCATGACTCTCTTCTTCTTTAAACCCATGTATGATTGTTAAAGAAAAACCTTCAATCTCTGTTTCATATCAGAAGAGCCACCTGGTATGGGACAGAAGAAAATGAAAAATAAGGGACTATTCTATTGTCACTAATCTCATAATCTTTTGGTTTACATTTGACTCTCTAACACTTTTTTTAAGGCATAACTATCATCTCAAAATCTATAAGATTATATATACATATATGTATATAAACTTGTATGTACATACGTATAATATATATATATAAACTTTCTGTCATGATACTAGTATTCATACAGAGTACTGACTAATTTCAAAAACAGGCTCCCTCTAGCTTCCTGTATGTGTTCTAAGTTTTGAGTCTGAAGTAGATAACTAGAAACTAAGTTTGTGTGCCTCAGATGTACTTAATAAGCTGTGGCCCTCGAAGCTGTCAGAGATCTGCTGCATACAGCCTTTAAAATGTTTAAGTTTTCTACAATAACCATGACCATTCCTAACACTAACCTTTGAGGTCTCCAAGAAGATGATGGGGCCCTGCAATGATGAATCCATCTGGACTGTGGTAATGCTAACTACTGGGCTAAACTGCTGCCAGTTTTTGCACACACATAAAAAAGGACAGCTTTTGGTTGACTGCTATGTTCTACCTAACCAGGATTGCCACTAAGCTGACAAACACCAAACAAAAATCAGTGTCATGCTACAAACTGCTCAGGACATTCAAATTGCTGAGTTCATGTGAGAGGGACATTAACATTTTACAGAATTTTGAACTCAAAAATACTTAATCCAAAGACTGCCAAATACAGCCAAGCTGGTCATTGTGGAAAGCTTGGCAGAAATAGTTTCATTTTGTGAATAGTTTTACTGTCTTAGAGTTAAAACCTTTCCTTTTTATTTAAACATAAGAGAAGAAATGTTGCAAGATACATGATCACACTCTGAATGCCAAGATTGCATTATTTACTGGAAAAATGTGTTTCTATTTGTGGTGTGGCTCAGCCCTAGCACACACCTTTAATGCAAGAGCTTTCTGCTTGAATTTTGTAAGCAAGATTAAATAAAGTCAACCATAGGTCAAGAGGCTGAGCAAGCAACCAGCTGAGAGAAAGTGAATGTAGGATGATTAGTAAAAAAAAAAAAAAAAATAGAGAGTAAAGAGGAGTCAAGAGGACAGATAGAGAGTTTCACAGGAAGTAGAAGGGAGGGATCAATTTAGTTTGAAGAGGCTTGTTTGAAATGGCATAAGACAAGGAGGCTGTTGGGATGTCGGTGGAGGAGGAAGGTCATCTGGGTGCTTTCTCTGCCTCCCTGAGCTAGCAGGATTTCATCCCAGCATCTGGCTCCTGAGTCTTTATGGGTAAAATCAAATGACTGAGATTTGTTAAAAACAAGACAGATAAGTAGTACAATTAAAATCCAGATAAAACTAAAGAATACTACAAAGTTGTAAGGCATTGGAGAAAAAAATGCAGCATGCATGAAGGTCCAAAATCAATTAAGTTAGACTCTGGAACCTAAAATCAGAACCTGCATCCTCTGCCACTTTCTTGCTACTTACCTTCTACAAGTCACCTCAACATTCTGGGCCTTAGTTCCTTCTTTGCTTTAGGGGCTCTTTTTTCTTTGCTAAGTAAGACCAATAAAATTGCTTTTGATCATGACTTTTTAGAAGAATAAAATAAATGACTCATGTAAAGCTTTTAGCATAGTACCCTACATGTGGTACTATGAGTTAAAACCTTTCCTTTTTATTTAAACATAAGAGAGAAAATGTTGCAAGACACATGAATTCAAGAATTAACTTAAATAATTATTGAGTTTTCCACTTTTGAAGAAAGTATCCTCATCCAAAGTGAATCTGGGCCCGGGAGAAACTGTCCAAAATAATTCCAAATAAAGAGACACATTGATCTCTCTACTCATCAGTATTGATTGTGATGAAGAACCTAGATAATTACTGCAATAACATAGTAATAGTAATAGAACTTACTAAGCACTTTCCCATTCTTCTTGAGTCCCAAATTGTTTCATGGCTAAATCATACACACACACACACACACACACACACACACACACACACACACACACACACACACACACACACACATCACACCTGGCCCAGGTAAATACTCAATACACCCACTAGAGAAGATGTTGTAGTCAGAGAATGTTTGTATAGCAGTTGACATTTGAAGAAAAATAACCTCAAGGATGCACCCTGTGAGGTCACTCTTCTTGAATCTACAGTGTTTAAGTGATTTATGGAAAAACGGGAACCAAAACTAATGCATGGATTCTGGTGTCTATCATAAGCAAAATTTTCCCCCTTATTCTTTTTGAAGCACATCCACCAAACACTTTCCTAAAATACTTGTTATATGTCCTTACTATAAAAGTTCTTAGCAAGCCGAAGAAATGAAGGAGTATGTGACCACCAGATGAATTTCACACAATTGGCTGGCCCTGAATAGCTACAGTCATCTTTATTTATACTTCAAAAACAAGCATGTTTTTCTCTATGAACAAACATGTTTTTCCCAATGTTAACATCTGGCAAAAGTAAATATGTCCAATATATTTTCCCAACTTTTACATCAAAACATCTTTTAAACCAAAAAGAACACTAATCATTTTGATAACTTGACCAAATATTAAGCCAGGTACATCCTGTCTTTACAAAATTAAAAATGATAAACATAGGCACACATTTTTAAGAACAACAATATCATTCAAAACTTAACAAAGCATATTTACAAGAATAGGGGTGAATTGCCTCCAATCCTGTCAGCACTGAATCAGACCAGTTCCCAGGGTCTGGAGTGACAGCTGACATCTCCAGACAAGAAATCTGAAAAACATCAGCTCCCCAAGAGGTTTAGGGGAAAATATTTGAGAAAAAAGTGATTTCCAGGAATGAACACATTTGTTCTATGTGTAACTGATGTAGTGACACAAAAAAACACGGAGAGAATCATCAATATTATGAGAAAGATGAGAGCACGAGAGCATTCAGCCAGCACAGTCCCAGCAGTATCCTGTGCTACCCCAAAGTCCACTGGTCCTTTCTGAATGAGACTGTCCCTGTGGATTTTGCCTCATCTGGAGACTCATTGAGCAAGCACTCATATACTGGCCTGAAACTAGGCCACATGGCTCCCATCACCTGCCTACTCATATACTGGAACCTCAAAAATATGACTATATCAAAAGAGTTAACCCACTTAGCTCTTAGGAAACTAAGGACTGAAGAAGTTGGAAAACAAAGATCAACACTGAAATCTGGGAATAATTTGTCCATGCAATAAATACACACCGAATGGTTTTTATTTGTAGATGATTTGTGTGTTAAGCACCAAGATTGAAAAAAAAATTCTGTTCTCATGTTATCTACTTTCTAATTGTGACTACAGGTCAATATCAGACTAATAAAACATCTCATCTTTGAGATGATAGCAAGTAAGTAGTACACTGAATAAGTCAGAGCGTGGAGGTGGGATGTTTGAGTCCAGCTTTGAGTCTAGGAGAGCCTTCCAAAATAAGATATGTTTGAGAAAGTAAATAAAACAAATATAGAAACAAAGAAAATTTGTTGCTTGATAAAGACCTTCAAGAAATTAATTAGGGCCTTCCAGAAATCTTTGATCTTCTCAGAGATTTCATAATGGCCTCTTTTACCTCCTTATTCCTCAGGCTATAGATGAGTGGATTCAGTAATGGAGTCACCACTGTATAAAACACAGAAACAACTCGATCCCCCTCTGAGGACTGGTCTGTATTATCTCTCAAGTACATGAAGATAAGGGTACCAAAGAAGAGAGCTACAGCAGTGAGGTGGGAGGTGCAGGTGGAGAAAGTCTTGGCCCTACCTCCAGCAGAGCGGATCTGCATAATGGCCACAATGATGAACAGATAGGACACAGAGATAACCACAATGCAAGCAGGCATGACAAAAATGGCAAAGACAATAATCACTACTTCCTGGATATAACTGTCCCCACACACGAGTTTTAATAGAGGAGGGAGGTCACAAAAAATGAAGTTAATTTCATTGCTTCCACAGAAGGAGAGAGTAAAGGCTGTGACAGTCCGCACAAAGCCACTAGAAAAACCAGCCACATATGCCCCAGTGACCAAGCCTACACGGGCCTTCTCTGTCATGATGGTGACATAAAGCAGTGGTTGGCACACAGCCACATAGCGGTCATAGGCCATAATTGCCAAGAGGTAGCAGTCAATGGAAGCAAAGAAGGTAAAAAGGAAGAACTGAGCTGCACAACGAACTTGAGAGATGGTTGTGCCGTGTTCCCATAGTACAGCCAGCATCTGAGGGATGATAACAGAGGAGTAGCAGATGTCCACAAAGGAAAGGTGGCTGAGAAAGAAATACATTGGGGTTTGAAGTCGACGGTTCTTCTGGATCAGGATGATCATTCCTGTATTCCCCAGCAGAGTAGAGAGGTAGAAACTTAAAAATAAAAGGAAGAGAGGGAGCCCCCACTCAGGATGTTCAGTGAATGCAGTCAGAAAGAACTCAGTCACAAAGGTATAATTCCTCCCAGCCATCCATCTAGAGGTTTACCTGTGAGGGCTAAGACAAGATCCAAAGAAGAGAAACTCAGAAGGGAAGAATAAGTTATTACAAGTAATAGAGCTTAAGTTGAGACTCTGATATGTAGTCATTGACTACAACAAAGTTTGCAGACTAAGAAAGACATAGAGAAATGCAGAGCTCACTCTAATATAAAACATGATGTATCTTTATATTATAGTAGGAATGGGGAGTAAGTGATTCTTGGACTGACAACCTAGATCTTGTATTTACAATTGCTCTCCCATTGGCTAGGTTATGTTATAAGGAGCACTTAATCTTTCTGAACCTCAATCCCTTTCCTGTCAAAAGAGGTTAATATACCCATGTGCTTGTGGGATGATTTGCTGATTAAAACAGATGCAGAATGACACTGAAAAGCTAAAATCACTACATAGGCATACAGTTGCTTATTAAAAATTTTAAATGAGCATCTTCTGTTAGCTTCCTCTCATTTATTTTTCAATAACCACTGTCACTACATGAAAGATTTTCTTCATAATGAAATTTCATGTCAAATTGTATTTGTCTTTCAAGTGAAAACATAATGTGAAACACTCAGAAATATGATCCTTGAAATACAATTTCTTTTAGAAAAATCGTGAATACATATAGTTCTTCCAAAGAAGAACAATATAGCTAAAGAATAATAAAAATAAAACTTCTATATTTAAAACTTTGTGTATCTGTCTGATGGCAGACACAAGAGGCCATGAATTTCATAATAGAGATTTTAGAGTTCCTAGACCATATCATCCCAAGAGTTTTAAGGATCAGTGAATCTGCATTTCTGTAGCATACACCACTAAAAAGCCTTAGAGAAGTTCTGCTCTCATCAGTATATCTAGAAATCTTCTTGGTTCAATTATAATCATGTAGGTAAATTACAAAACAGATAATTTAATATCTGTCTACCAAAACAGTAACACAAGGGGATACTCCTAAGAATAGGCTTGTGTCTAACTTTGTGTCTAATCACCAGAACTTTTGAGTGCCTCATATTTTTGCATAAATAACATAATGAGAACTCATCATTTGATAATATTGTATATTCTACTTGATCACCAAAGGGATTAGAATATACACCATATTATTTCTTCTTAAGGGTATCTAGTAACTTTTAATTCCTTGAAAAGCATTCTTTGTACATGTGGTATACCCATTAATAAAATCATGTTGATCAGCCAGAGAATTTCTTTCACTACTTCTGTCAAAATAAGCATTATATATTCTGTAAAGGAAACAGCATGAGTCAAAATATATGCATTATTAATCAGCAATGGACTCTGCTTATAGAAATATTTGTTTTCAGTTTAACTGTATGAATTCTTTAAAAATAGCTGCTTTCCCATTTTAAGTTGTCTGGATAATTAAGACTCTATATAGATATATAAATACATAAACACACTGGCATTATCCTTGCAACCAAGAGAGAAAATATAAGCTCCTACAGGTATCTAACAAAGCTCTATGATGATTGGTTTATTATTCTCAAAGCCTCTAGTAAAACATAGTTTAATAAAAAAAAGCATATATATTTGAAAGGAGAATAAAGCAGAAACTATTCTGCAATCTAGTATTGATGAATTAATGAGGAAGTCTGAATGAATGGATTTTGTATTTTTTGAAAAAGTTCCTCAACAGCGCTGTAAAAAATGACTTTGGTGATTAGAATAGCAAATGCTACTAAAGCCAGGTCAGTGATGAACTGATTCATCAGGGCTGATAACAAAGAAAAAAACTTAGACACACAAACTGTGAGTTGTCTTTACCTGTATTCTTCTGTGCCTTTCTTCTTGGTGTGGTTTTGCTACCTGTGGCCTGACATTCCAGGTGATTTCTGCATCCAGTTCACCATGCAGAGCTGCGGGCAAGTCATACTTCCTTTCTATCTTTAATTCCCTTTACTTTGTTCCCCTTTGCTAAAAATGCAGCTCTTTCTCATAATTCTAGCACTATGGTTGAGATGGGTCACACCAAGTTCTTTTATGTTTTAATCTCACTGCAATGAACCATTCTTCCCTCTCAACATTAGCAAACCAATATATCCCTGACCCTGTTTTCCTGAGATTACTTCAGACTCCTGCCACAACAGTAGGGCTTAAAGAACCAGTAAGTATCCCTAAGTTTCTGATCTCAACTATACTGAATATAAGAAGTTTGATATGCATCTTATAGTCACTTTCAGAGTGTTGCAGTCTAATTAGCTCCTGGGGTGACTCTCCAGGGAAGGCAATTTTGTGACTTCCTAACAAGGTATCTAATATCTTTGAAAGTTGGTCTCTAATTTCAAACTCTCAAATCCCCATGACATGTCTAACCAACTCTCGTACAGTGTAACAGAGCTAGTTCACAGACTTTGCACCAAAAGGAATGCACTTTTGGAAGATCTCCTGTATCTCACTTTGATGCCACTCTAACCAACTATGACTTGATCACTAAATGATGCTATTTCTTAAGAATGAGCTCTTACTTGCCGTGACCATGACATATTGGGATATGTGACTGTGAAAGTTCACTGCTCACTGATATGATAAAAGCATGTGATATACATACATAAAAATGCCAGGGTATTGTGGTATGGAACCTGTAATTTCAGATCTCAGGGAGCAGAGGCAGGAAGACTGTTAGAAACTCAAGGCTACAAATGGATACACAAATTACATCAAGACATTGGTTCAAGAGAGTGAAGAGAGAATGAAGGCACTACATCCTTTGAAACTGATTAATTTGTTAAATTAATATATTTTCCGTTTGCAAAAGCAGAGAGTGAAGTGAATGAGGATCCACAAAAAATATTATGGAGTTCAAGAGTGAGTGGGCAGTGAACTAACTAATTTCTACCAGCAAACTTAGAAAATTCCCCAGGATGATTATAACCTTCAACATATCTCTGGTTCTGAAAATTCAAATGAGAAATTCTCAAGGTACTGTCTGAAAGGTGAATATTAACACAACCACTTCCAGGGATTCTGACTTGGTATCCATCATGAGAAGTAGATATCTATATTGTTCATGATTACCTCAAGACATTCTGATACAAGTAATCTCTAAAAATATATCTGAAGACAATTCTTGAAGACTGTTCTGGGAGTCTAGCCCTTCTTGACCCTCTGTGTGTGGTGCCACAAACTTAAAGTTCCAAGTTACATGGATGCCATCCTTCGTCGTGAGTGAACCTCAATAGGGCATTTTTTAAATGTTCCTCTGTCTTATAAATGAGTTTTTAAATGTGAAGATAGAAAACGTCATAACGATGACCTGAAACGGGGTTTACTGGTTTGACTGAGAATATCCTGAAGATGGACAATACAAGGAGATGCTAGAATCCGCTTAAACTACACTGTCCTTAAGAATTCCCCTGGGAACTGATAAAATCCAAAGGTCCATATCTTAGTGTGTAATAATTAAGTCAGAGTATCTGAGTGTAGGAGCCAGAAACCAGAATATTTTGTTTTTACTCCCCTGGTGACTATAGTATGTAGCAAAGCTGGAGAGTCACTGACAGGATGCTCTTGCATGTTCTCAGGTGTCTGAGACAGATGTTTCAGGAACATGGTTTTAATATTCCCACACACTTAAAGACAACTCTTTGATATTTATTCTTTATATAGAAAATCATACTGTATAACAGCATGTATAGAGCTATATAATTAAGAAACCACATTCCATGGATCCTAAAGGACAATTATATGCTATTTCTTGACATGAATCCTAATATCATTGTGATTAATGTTATGCTTCATCCAGTGGCTGAAAGGAAAGAACAAGCCAGAAGCAAATAAAGACTATTATTGCACACACACACACACACACACACACACACACACACACACACACACACACACAAAAGAAAGAAAGAAAAGAAAAGAAACCACACCACCTTTAACCCACAAATTCCCCAAAGCATTTAACCATAGACCTTCCAGTTCATTAACAGCCTGATACTCCTGGGGAGGGGTACCCATTAGACAGTATAGATTTAAAATGGCTCAGAAATTGTCCAAATGCCAAATGGCAAAGCAGTAATTAATTTAATAAAAACACGGCATCTTTTGTCTTTATTATGATTTTATGTACGATTATGATTACACATGATTCATCTCTAGATCTGGCTCCTTTAGGTCACGGTGTGACTTTCTCCATACAAGCGAATGCTTCTACTGGGAAAGGTCTTAGGATGTAATCTGTAGAAGTAGCATCCTTCCAGATAGTTCCCTAGGGAATTGTAAGAAGATACTATCTGTCCCTCTATGAAAGACTGTCTCTAGAGTCATTAAGGGGATCCCATAGCTGTTTCCCTAAAGCTCTATTTCATAAGTAGTATTGAATACACTCATTTGCCCCACCACCCCTAGATATTGGGGTAATCATCTGTTCAGGAAACTGGAGCCCCATTTTCAGGAAGAATTGAATAAGTTCAATGAACTATGCCTATCTGGTTAGGGACATTGAACCATTCTACAATATATTACATACAAAACATCATATCATACCTCATAAATAGGCACATTGAAGCCAATGTGATGATTCTGTGAGTAAATGTGTTTGCCATGCAAGCCTTGTAACCTGAGTCAATCTCCAGAACCCACATAAAGGTGAATGAAAAAAAGAAAGAATTCACTCCATATAATTGTTTCCTGACTTCTACATGCACACTGTGGCACATACTTCCTCCTAACACAGATACATTTGTAGTAAGAACAGGTCATGTTCTTGTAGAGGTGGCTCAGGAGTCAAGAGCACTGGTCTATACTCCAGAGGACACAGATTCAATTCCCAGCATGTATATGGTGTCTCACAATCATCTAAAACTCCAGTTCCATAGATCTAATGCTCACTTCTGGCATCAACAAGCACCAAACATACATATGGTCCATACACACATGTGCCAACTAACACCCATAGACATAAAATAATTTTGTTTTGGGGGGGTTTCTCTTACAACCCTGGCTGTCCTGAAATTCACTGTATG